GGGGACACAAGGAGGGGACATTCCTAGATCTAGCCCTACAAGTCCTCCGATTTTATGCTGGGATCTAGCAAACATGGCGGTATAGTAGACCAAATGGCTTTACACTCAGGCACATACGAGTTCTAATTCTTAGTCATTGGATCACCTTGAGCAAGTCCGTAAGTCTCTCTGAGCCTCAGTTCTTTCATCTGTAAAAGGCAGACAATAATATATACCCTAGAGTTATTTTCATGCTTAAGTGAAATGACAGAAGTGCACACACCAATGAATGCTGATTTCCTTTGCCCTCCTCTGTTTGACCCGAAAATAGATCTCTTCATACAAAACATAAGGGCATTTTCTCTTATTCCCTTTGCCCCTTCTAGCCTCGACTTTCACAAAGAGATACAGAGACAAAATTTCAGAGTTGAAAGTTAAAAAAAATAACAACGTGTTGCAGAAGGAACTTGGGGATCATCCCGTACAGCTCGCTCACATTTGAGGCCCAGAGGCAGAGCCTTCTCAGTAGCAGGCAAAGTAATACCAGGATCAGAATGGCAGAATGGGGACAGGTGGGTAAACAGTCCTAACCCGGGCTCTCAGTTCTCATCCAGAGACCACATCATCTCAGGTCTTTCTCACCTACTTAACCTTTCTGAACCTTAGTTGCATCCAAAAATACCCAGGATCATTGCAAAAATTGAATGAGATGATGTCTGTAAGACTCAGTATAATCCATGATGGAGTTCAGGGAAGAGCAGCTGTTAAACTTTGAGTTTCACATTTTTTAAAAATTTTTTTAATGTTTACTTATTTTTCAGAGAGAGAACGAGAGCGGGAGAGGGGCAGGGAGAACGAGAGGGAGACAGAGTGCAAAGGAGGCTCCGGGCTCTGAGCTGTCTGCACAGACCCCGACGCGGGGCTCGAACCCACAAACTGTGAGATCATGACCTGAGCCGAAGTTGGACGCTTCACCGACTGAGCCACCCAGGCGCCCCTTGATTTTCACATTTTAACAGATGAATACATTGAAAGAATTAATGGCAGAAGAAAGAATCCGTGTTTATTAAAGGCCTCCTGTGACTGAGGTGCTGCGAGCAAGACCCCAGCTTCTGGGCAGGCATCAGTGTCCTACTCCCCAGCTCAGGAGACGGAGGCTCATCTTAATACTGTACCTTGCCCCCTGCACCCGTCGGACTGGGCCACTCCACACGGCTCCAACTGCCCGTGCGACAACCCCATCAGTACATCCTTACTTTTTAAAAAAGGAAAAAAAAAAAATCCGGAGCAAATGAGTAGCTAACCTGAATTAATCCTCCAAAATATCAGATGCCAAATGTTCTGTAACTTGCCTGTTCGTCGGGCCTTTTATTTCTCCTGCAGAACAATTTCCAAACTGGGCAGAGCTCAGTAGGTGGCCCTCTTTCATATTTCACGGGCAAGGCGACAGTGACTCACCAGGTCCTACATCTGTGTCACTAGCAGACGCCTGACAAAGTTGAGCAACAAATGAAACTGTGTGTATGCCCGAGATAACCTTTCTTTCTTTTTTTCTTTCTTTTTCTTCTGCCTCCTCCCCTGATTTCCTCCAGCCATAGCCTGCTTTCCGAACAGTGCCAGGTAAGATGACGCTAACTGGCCACCTTTTGGCAAAAGCAAACTATATGCTTCCAAATGCCAAAAGCGAGGAGAAAACATTTCTCCCAGAACTGCATTTGCAAGCCTGTCTGCTTGCTGCAGAGCAGAGAAACCCGATGGCCCGTGGGGAGTCTCAACGGATAAATGGCCCCATTGCCTGGGCCAGAAACAGATCTGTTCATTTCCCTACATAAGCCTGCGGCCATCAGTTTCCACGGGGAGGACGGAGGCTCCAGACCAGTGATCGGCACCCGCCCCCAAGCAGTGAGCGGTCTTTTCTGCAAATGCCGCCTGGGCGTGCTGTCCTCTCTTCCATCCTGCACCCACAGGATTGGTGACAGAAGTGAAGAACGCTATGGTCACTCATGACATTTGTTCCTCAATCTTCTTACTACCCTGTGAATTAGCACAAGGATGACAGAAGGAGGAAACCACTGAGAACAGGAAGAAAACGTAGCATGTCTTCACAGTACCCTGCTTCCTAGGACGGGAAGGTACATTACATCAAACACGGGAGGGTAGGCAGGTTGCCTTAGAGATCGGGGCTTTCTAACCTCCTCTCCTGAGAGCTGGCCAACCCCCCACCCCAACTTCTACAGAGCATGTTGACGGATTGTTCCCTCAGCAAGGAAATTTCCCTTTTGGGACAGAAAGGATACCTTGCAATCACCAGTCAAGTAAGGTCACTTAACTGAAGTAAATCCTTAAAGGACTCATTGAAGACGTGACGGCATGTGACGGGGAAAGCCCTTAGCTAGAAGTCACTAGGTGTGAACTGTGTGTCCAGGGCTGAAACTTAAGAACCACGTGACTCTAGCCACCTCTCATCTCTCTGAGTCGCCTTCAGTCTCTTTCTCAGTAAAACTGAGACCAGCTAAGAAGAGATATTGTTTAATGAGCACCTACTCACTACATCTACTTTACATTACTCTGTTTAATTTTACCCTCACACAAGCCCTTGGGGGTAAGCACTTTCTTTTCCAGTTTAGAACTGGACAAAATGAAAGCTCTACATGGTGAAATAAATTGCTCAGTATTACCTAGCTACAGAGGAATTAGAACTGAAATTCGAATCTGACCACAAAACCTAAGCTCCTTCTACTATTAATATGCCTGCTACGTCCTTCCCTCAGGGCTATAGCAAGTAGCAAGAAAGATCATATATATGGAATATGCCTGGGAAATTTTTAAGTTCTCTCTATATGTGTGTATGATTTTTGTCACAAGTAATCTGCATAAGGAGAAAAGGTATAACTCGGTATTCTTTCTTTAAGGAACCAGAACCAGAAGAAATTATCTTCCAATCTCCCTTCCATCCCCTTGTTCTGACCTTATTTTTAACATTTTCCTTTTGCCCACAAGTCACCGGTTTCTCAGGCACGCGTTCAGATATATTCTGGCCAGCTCATCACAATGCAGGCACACGGAACAGGCTGCCAGAAGCAAGTGATCCCATCCTCTGCAAACACTTGGTGTGGGAGGCATCTCCAGGGGCACCACCAGGTTCTACCCTGCCCTCAAGATGCATCACACTCCCACCTATGCACTCATCAGCCCCCCCCCCCCCCCCCCCGCCCGGCGCCCCCGCACATCGGAGGGGCCGGGAAGCAGGCAGTCGACTATAAATGCTGAGCGGCTCAGTTCAGGGACTTAAGGCATAGCCAGGAGATGATAGTAAATAACTGGAAGAAGTCGATCAGAATAAAATCAATTTTCATGAGCATGGTGGGGATGTATGAGGAGCTACTTCATTTTAAAATACCAATAATCAAGGAAGACGAGAGGAGGCATGTGTAGTGTTTCTGTTTGAATAAGGCAAGTTTGTGTCCAGAGGGACTGAATTTGGCAGCGCCACCACAGAGTCAAAAAGAAACACATGAGAATTGTGTTGTTGTTTTCCTGCGGTAAAGAAAACACAAAGTTGCCTGTCTGACCTAAGACATCGGGGACACAAGGCTCACAACAGTCTGTAACTTCTCCTGTCTTCCTACTTTTTATCAAATTCCAGACCCTCTTTGCCAATAAAGGCTGCCTCAGATCACAGCTTCACAGACCTGAGGCTTGGCCTAAAATCTAGGGGTGGTGGCATCACTGGGAAACATTAATTTTATATTCCAAGTCAAGCATCCGTGATCAAAGTTACATGGAAACAGCACTCAGAAAGCACTTTCTATGAAGGAGCTGTTCAAACTCCAAAGAAGAAAACACCACAATAGTATACAGATCAAAAAAAAAAAAAAAAAAAAATCCCCATAAGGTAGGATGAAATCACCTCCTTTCTGAAAACCCTCTGTCTCCTGGGTTACTGTCTAACAATATTTACAATGGCAGCCATCAATCTCAAACTAACCAGGTGCCACGCCAGGCACTGGGCCAGACCTGCTATTTGAATGATCCCATTGCATCTTCCCTAGAAACCTCAGGGCTCATTGTGATCATTACAATCTCCATGTTGCGGCTGGTGGGGGGGGGGGGGGGGGGGGGGGGGGGAGCACTGAGTACCCGAAGGACAGGGTGACTTTCCCGACCAAGTTCACACAGCTAACACCGGGCAGAGCTGGAGTCAAAACCACCAGGTAGTCCTTCAGTTGGGCCGGTGGCTAACCCTGGATCCGGGAAGCCGAGCAGCAAAGGCGCTTCAAGAGAGGCGCGGCGGACCTCAATTTCACAACCGGAGGTGGAGGAAAGACAGCCTGGGGACTGGCTCTTAAAGGAAACGGCAGAAGTTTGCTTTTACGTTCGCGATTTTTCTCTTTCGCTCGGCTTCCTCGTTCCGTCCCAGCACTCCGAAGTGACGGGGGCCATGGCTCCGTGAAGCCGGCGTTTCCTAAACGAGGGGCTTCCCACCGCTCCAGGGCCACCAGCCTCGTCCAGCTGCGAGTGCCACCCCAAGGCACCGCCTCCCCAGGAGCCTGCCAGACAACCTGGCTGGGCATCCTTCTGAGAAAGCAGGTCAGGGGAGACCGAGCGAAGCCGCCTTTCCCCCGCGGTCACGGCTCCGCGCTGGGGGCGGCGGGGTACCCTCCGGGGGGCGCGCCGCCTCTTCGCCCCTCAGCGCTCACAGCAGCGCCCTGGAGAAGCCCAGGAGGGGGGGTACGCCAGGGTGGATCCCTCAGAGGGCTGGGGCGGGAGGGGGGGGGGTGCAGCAACGCGCAGCCGTCCCCCAACTGCGGTATCTAAATCTGCACAAGGCAAAGACGGGTTCGAGTCCTGGCCCCAGCACTTCACCAGCTGTGTGACCCATCCCAGCCGCTGCCTCGCTCTGTGCCTCAGTTTGTCCTTCTGGAAAATAGGAGGGTTGAAGAGATGGTCTGCAGAAGCCCGTCCACCCCGAGATGCGGGTAGGTGATTCCTCCCAGCCCCGCAGACAGCAAGAGACTCACCTTTCTTGGGGAGCAGAGCGCGCACGGCGAGCCGGTGGGGAAGGGCGCGGGGCCGCCCAGCACTGCTGCTTTTCGGCGCGTCCGGCCCAAGCGGAGCCCGGGGACCCCGGATCCGGGCAGTCTTCCCCCAATGAGCCTCTTACTTTCCGCCGCACTTTCTTTTTCCCCCTTCGGGGCTCCTCCCCCGGCGCGGCGCGATTGGCCGCCGCCGCGCGGCTCGGGCTCCGCCCGCAGCCCCGGCTCGCCGGCCCCCGGCGCTCGGGGCTCCGCCGAGGGGCGGCCGCGGGGCGGCACCGACGGCAGCTCCGCCCGCGGCGAGGAGGGGCCGGGCTGCGGGCGGCCGCGGGGCCGCGCCGCCCGGGACCGGCTGGGGCGCGCGGGTCCCCGGCTGGGCCGGCGGCCGGGCGCGCGGAGACCGACGCCCCCACCGTCCGCACAGACGCGCACCTGCGCGCGTGGCAGGCCCCTCGTCTTCGCAGGCGACACCGATGCCACCCTGCCTTTTCCCCCCCGGGTCCGTGTGCTGAGCCATCCTGCCGCGTCAGGGCCGCGAATCCATTCCGGCCGCGGGAAGTGCGCGCGCCCACCCTGTGCCAGGCGCGGGGTGCGACAGGAAGATGCGCGGCGCCTCGGCGTTCCGGGGGCCTTGCCCCGCCACGGGTGACAATCGTGGGAACCGCAGCCGGTCACGACGGCGGGACTGAGTCCGTGTGTTCCACTGGTGGATAGTCCGTGTCTAGCACAGCGCCTGGCACAAAGTAAGCCCCTGATACGTGTGTGTTGAACGAATAAGTAAGTGAATGAACGAAATAATAGTTTCAGAGGGAGATAATCTCACGAACATTACTTCCCCTTCCTTCATTCCCGTTTCTCCAGGTTCCTGCCAGAGACCTCAAGCACTCGCCCCCATTCTAGACGGTAGTCTGGATAATCATCCTAAGAGGCTTTATAATGATTTTCATTAAGTCAACTTTTATGTTCAAGAACCTTCTGTTGGTAGTCCATCACGATTTCTTCCTGACTGGCGGGCCCCTGTGATCACCTGACCCGGTTCTGACACCTCCAGACTCTACCGCGTTCCCTGGTCTCGTCACACAGGCCTTGCCCTCCACCACCTCCTTGATTCTTTTGTCTTCCTCATTTAGAAGTACCTAATGGAATCTTATTAATGTCCAAGAAATCGAAATCCAGAGAGAGAAAGAAGGCAAATAAGGCAAACGTAAGAAATGTTGGGACAAGTGTGTGAGTTACTGATGCCTCCTGACGGCCAGGTGCTCGGTACACCTGGTGCCTTTTTACAAATACCATGTCATCAACGCAGCATCTCCATGAGGTACGTTGTGTATTTTTCCAAGAAATCGAAATCCAGAGAGAGAAAGAAGGCAAAGAAGGAAAGGGCCTGCGTGAACTATCGGGTGGAAGTAGCCGGTGGCGATGTCTGCACCGCTAACTGCCAGAGACGGCCAAGTCTGCAAAACTCAGACTGCGCCCCTGCCTTCGGGGAGCTTCCTCCCCAAGGCAAAATAACCGTAGAATGGAAGCTGTAGAAATGTCCATGTTCTTGCGTTTGCTGATACCATTTATGAAAATTAATCCCGAGGAACGATTATTTATCTCTGGATACCTGATAACATCCTCTGTGCTTACAACATCATTTCTGGGCCCAATAGCAAATAATCCAAGAGAATTTTTTAAATTACCTGTATGAAGCAAAAATAAAACTGTTCCTTGCTTTATTATTTATTCCTTAAACATGTACAGGACAGGGACTGTTTTTCTTTTAGAGTACCCTCATCAAGCACTTATATAGGTGCTTACAATATAGCAGGCACTTTGCTTATTTAATTCTCATGACCAGTAGGGTACTATTATTATCTCCAACTTTTTGATGAGATCTAGAGACGTTGTAATTGAGGGCTGAGGCAGTCAGTCTTCCGGTTGTTAGGCGCTCCATTATATAGTCTCACGTGCTTCCTAGAAGTCAGGACTGTGTGCCAGGCACATGCTGGGGGTTCTAAATTGAGCCACCTATAGTCCTGACCTGTGAGGGACTACTCCTAGCTTAATGAAGTTGACAAATTTACAAATAATCATTGCATCATATATTGTGATTTGAAGACAACATAAATGTTTGGGAACGAAAATGATAAAGTAAGTAATGCTATGTATTCACAAAATAAAATAGCTGCCATCAAATTAAAATATTATAAACCTATGTCTACAAAGAAAAGTGTTTACAATATCATTAATAAGTTCATGTAAAAGCCATGGAAACACATGGACAGTAATTGAAAGAAATGTGGGAAGTGTTAATGTATTTGCATTACGAGAGTGTTTCCTTTTTCAATTTGATTTAATGTTAAAAAGTTTATTGTAAGAACTAAGAAAAAATGTTTCCGAACTCACATACTAGGTATTCAGTGAACAGTTGTCCCATGAATGAATGAATGAATGAAGCTGCAAACTCATTAGTGTCAGTACCTAACAGTGTTGGGTGTCGAGGACATGCCCAATAAAATATTCTGAAATTGATGGAAGTATTTGGGAATGCATGACCTTCTTCTTCCCTCTGCTACTACCCCTTACCTTTTTTCTCAGATTATCTTTACTCGTATGCCTCAGATTATTGCTAGTCCCTTGAACCCAATCCAGTCAGAGTTTGGGCCCTAACACTTCATACTCAAGGTATCTAATGACCTCCCTCTTCGTCAAATTCAATGTTTAATTCTGTCTTCATCTTACTTGACCTATTAGCAGCATTAGATACAGTTGATCAGTTTCTCCTTCAAACTCCTTCTTACTTGACTTCTCTTTTTCCATTGACTCATCTGCGGCTCCTTTCCAGACTCCTTTGTTGGGTCCTTCACCTCTTCATCATCGCTGAAGGTTAGAATGCCCCAGAGCTTCTCCTTGGTGCGCTTATGTTCCCTGCCTGGGAGATCACATCCAGGCACATAGCTTTCTCAAACATCTGCATGATAATGACCTGCAAATTTAAATCTGCAGGCCGAACCCCAGACTCTCTTTATCCTTTAAATATCTTCTTAAATGTTTCACATACATTTCACACTTCACATGTTCAAAATGAGTTATTTCTACCTCTCACCAAAGCACCTCCTTTCCCAATTTTCCCAGATTGATAAGAAACACCGTCTTTTACCCGGTTGTGCAGGCCAAAAAGTTGGATTCACCACTGATACCTGGCTTTTTCTCAGAGCTCATCTGCAAACCAGCAGCAAATTTTGTTTCCTCTACATTCAAAACACAGATCAAACCTGAACACCACTTCTCTCTTCCACTGCAACCACTATCGTCCAAGTCCTCTCTCCCCTCGCCCCCCAAACACCCCCCAACTCCTCTCACCCCCAACCCTCCACCACCACCTCCCCCACCCGCCTGCTTAATCGCTTGCCTCCAGGGTCTTTCCTCACACTTCAGAGTGATTTATCAATGGAAATCAAAATAAACTCAGGCTAAGGATTGAGGGCAAGGACTTTGGAGCCAGACTGCCTGGTTTCAAGTTCAAATTCTATAACATATTAACATAACTGTTACTTAACAAAAACGTTACTTAACTTTTTTGTGCCTCAGTTTTCTCATCTGCAAAAAATATATATATATATATATATATATTATAATAATGTCTATATCAGAGGTTGTTGTAAAATTTAATGAGCTAATTGGAAAAGAGACTGGTACACATTAAGTACTATATAAATATTAGTTCTTATTTTTACTAGTAGTAAAATGTCATCCTCTGTTCTCAAATATTCAACGAATTCTTATCATGATTAGAGAAATTTCCAGAGTGCTTGCTGTCCCCTACAAGGCCCTACATGATTTGACACTGAATCACTTCTTCTTTTTTTGTTTTTAATGTTTATTTTTGAGAAAGAGAGAGAGTAAGTGGAGGAGGGGCAGGAAGAGAGGGAGACACAGGATCCGAAGCAGGCTCCAGGCTCTGAGCTGTCAGCACAGAGCCCGATGCAGGACTCGAACTCCAGGACTGTGAGATCATGACCTGAGCTGAAAGCAAAATTTGGATGATTAATCAACTAATCCACCCAGGTGCCCCAACACTGAATTACTTCTTTAGGTCTCTCACTGTGTGCTTCTCATGGCTGCGCAAGCATGCCAATATGTGCCCATATGCTGGGACCTTTGCACATGCTGTTCCCTCTGCCTGGAATTCTCTTCCCCCTTGGCTTGCTCCCTTACTTCATGTACATTTCCGCTCAACTGTCACCTTCTCACGTAGGTGACAATCTACGTGACCTTTCCTGACAACCTATCAAATGCTACTTCTTATAGTCTCTATTTTAATTATATTACAGTTTTATCTTAATTATGTTACATTTTAATTTGCTTATTGAATGTCTCCTTTGCTGGAAGCTGGAACAGAAGCTTCCCGGGTGATATGTTTCCCTAGCAAACACACAGTGCTCCGGATACAGTACTCACTTAATAAACATTTCTTGAACTATGAATCCAGTCTAAAACTCTTATGATTAAACCAAGACCCAAAGATACTAAGTGACCAATTCCTTGCCCCCTCTCCTTTGATTTACATTTCTGCAAGGCCAGAATAATGGAAGAAAAGAAATAAAGCAATAAATAGCTTCTCTTGGCTGGGAGCAGAGTAAAGAAAGTACAGTACAGAGACGTTTTACTTTAGGTGTTTGGATGGAAGGTGAAGAGCAGGCAGGACTGAGCCAAAAAGAAAAATGTGAACAAGGAAGCAAGTAATGATGTCTCTTTCCCTGTCTTTTTACACCCCCGCCCCTTGCACTTTCTCGCCCGTTTCCCTCCCATCTCCACCCAAGCCTTGTAGCTGCTTTGTGGCTATGCCCTTGCTGTGCTCAGCCATGCTTGTTCCCTTGGCCCCTGCAGTGCCTGGTGTTTCAAAGTCAGCCCTCCCTCTTGCAACTTACAGCCTCTGTCCCTGGTAGAAGCCCTTTACCCCTCAGTTGGGTTCAAGTAGGTGTAGGTACACAAGCAGATTAAACAAAGTTAAGATAGAGATTAATAAGAGCTCAGCCCTCTCTTACCAGTGGCGTGTGCTCATGTGCCCAGACACATATCTCTAACTACTGAAAGTCAAGTGGTTTGGAAGAGGAAATATGACTGTGCAGTGGGAGACTCCGTTCCTACCCCTCAGCCTAGCAGCGCTACGTTATGTGCAGCCTTGGAAGAGGAGAGGCGAAAGGGGAATTCTTGGATCCCCTCCAGAACTCTCTTTGCATAGGGATGGAGGTGAGCCCCAGGAATAGGGGATTCTCCCACCTCTTAAACACAGCTAGACCTCAGTAAAAGCAATGAAAAAGGAATGTATTCAGTGACGACTGACAGCAGGTGAAAGAACTAAGCTTCATTCTGATTTGCACAGAGAAAAAAAATTGGGTGTTTCAAAAGCGAAAGAGGGAGAGGGGTGGAGAGGGGTTCAGTAGAATCAGAGGAAAAAAAATTTGCCAGAGGTTGGTCAATGTAAATATCATTAGGCCAGCTACATCTGCTGGCTGGCAGTTAGTGAAGTTAAGATTCTATCCTCCCACGGAGACTGGCCTGCCTGATGATTGCATTTCAGAGGAGTGGCTCTCAGATCCTTGAAAAAGATACTTCTGCATTGTAAGAGATACATATTCACAATCGTAAGCCCTTTTTAGTAAATGCTCTAAGAAAAGGAGGTCAGAGGCCTATCATCAGATGTTGGCTAGAGCAAACAGTAAAATTTCCTGGCAGCCTTGAGCTTTCTCAGGCAGGCATTTAATGGGAGGCTGGGGTCATCACAGGGGCACAGCCTGATGCTGCTAAAAGCCATGCTGGAGTTTGGTCTGGCCTCTCAGCACAGGGGTTTGGATGGAGTTGTTCTGCGCCAAGAATTCTGCAATGAACGGAGGCGGCTAGATTCTTTCACAGGATACGTGGAAATGGAAGTGGGATAGTGGGCAATCCACCACCCCATTCCCTCGGTGCCTCTGCTGTAACACTCGCCACATCTCCCTTGGAATGCTGGTCTTCATGGCCATGCCCCTCCCTTCACGGGAGCATATCCAGATGAGTGACAGGGTGACGGGCAAAGACATGTTTTCCAAAAGACAGCCTGAGTCTTCTTGGCCTCTGGCCTAAAGCTCCTGGAGACTGTTAGAAAAGACCTAATTTTCCCTCCCTGCTTTTCTCCTTCCACACAGAAGCTTTGAAGTAAAGGTCAGGATTTTAATAAAGTCTTGGAGGATGGTTATTATGCGGTGTTGACACTTCACTCCAGCAGGAAATTTAAAGACAAGAACTTTGCATGCAGAGAGGAGAAACTTACCTCTATGGTTCTCACTTGGCCTTGTAAGTAGTTAACAACATTTACTAATTTCCAGGCTCCAAAATCCAATCTCAGTTGAAGCCGTGCTCGTTATGTAGATATTATCACCTATGTTCTCTCTTAAGCCAAACCACTGCAATAGTGTCTAGGACAGACTCGATGGAAATCGTTCACCATCTGGTGAATAGCAACCAATCAGTTTCCCATTAAAAGCATGCTGACTAATATTTGCTTGTTCGTATAGCAGAATCAGAGGGCTGTGCCATTTAGCCCTTTACTTGCTGTGCAGCACCGGGAAGACTGAATGATCTCCTAGGAGGTGGGCCCTTATATTATTCATCTCCAGAGAAAGATTTTCAAATAGTCATCTAGGATTCAGAGACGTTGTATGGGATTTCTTCCCCACTGGCCCCAGCATTGAGAAATTTATCTTTTATTCATTTGTTTACTCAAACGTGTGTTGGACGTTTGCTCTCTCTGGGTATTGTGGGTAATGCTGTGGTGGGGTGGACATGGATTTTTTTGTTATAGAAGAAGACATGATGTCTACACAGATTATAAAAAGCAATGTTGAAATAATAGCAGCTCTTCAATGAACAGCTACACCATGGCATGCCCTTCAAGCCTGCATTCTTTCTCAACCTTCCAAAAGCCTTAAATGGTAGACAGAATTTTCCCTATTTTTAGTGCTGAGAAAATAAAGTCAGAGAAGCTTACTTGCTAGTTAACTTGAACCCAATGGCGAGCCCCAGATCTAACAAATTCTGAAAGGCCATACTTCTCCATGCTACGCTAAGGTCCATGAGAAAGTTCAAAGAAATGAGTTTTGGAGCATCGCTTCTGTTTGGAGAAAAGGAAATTGCTTCAGTTTGGAGGAGATCAAAGAAAGAAACTGAGAGAGTGTCAGCAGCAGGGATCGGAAAGACAGGTGGAGTCAAGATTCATGGACCAAGAGGCAAGGAGTGAGAAGCTACGGGACATGGGAACAGCATTCATTTATTCATTCACCCAGCTGCTGTTGGATATATAAATAAAAGAACTGCAACGTGAGGTGGTAGATGCTTTTGGAAAAACAGCATGATGCTCTCCTAAGCCCAGAGGAGGGGTTTGCACACAGCATCGAAAGGTGAGAAAGAAAAATGGGGTGAATCCTCTCACCAGCTGGAGAACATGTGGGAAGCCATGGGAGAAAGGACTGGAAAACCATACTTGAGTTAGA